TGGAGCATTAGCCTCATTTACATTAGGTAAATCATGGGTGCCAAACTCGCCACATCATGTGACGTGTTGCGACGTATTGCGACTTTTTGCATTGCCAGCAATGGGGTAGGTGCGGCTTCGGTATGATGAAACCGGCCCGTGGGCTAGCAGTTTGACACCCCTGAGCTAAATGCTTCTTTCTTGCTTGTCTTAAAACTGCAGCTCTCCTTTTCCCAGAGGCATAATGATGGCTAGCCAGGGTTTCATTTTACTTTATTGGTGTTTAGAGGCATTACTTGCATGTTTTGACCTATGTTTGTCTTTCTAACACCATACTTATTTTTGTTTGGTTACATACTCCTGCTTTCATTTCCTACATACAACCCATTTTCTTTTTACCATTTTATATAAACTATGTATATCTCTTATATCTTTAAATATCTTTTCTTTTCTCCTAAGTAGGAACTGGGATTCTGTGCTCTGCCTCTTGACTTCAAGGCACTGAATCCACCCTATATTTCCACAGATTGCATCAAAATATCCCAGTATACAAATCTGATTACTTTTTATGGCCCTTGGCATGAACTCAAAGATAACATGATTACCTTGTCTCCACAAGATTCCAATAATATCTTCATTTTTTTCAACCAATTTGTCCCCGTTAAAAATTTTTTACTTCTGAATCCAGCAAATCTTTCCAGAAGGTGGTGGAGCAGTTGAAATCTCCTTGCTATTGCATGTCTCTTTGAAAGTTTGGCAATCTGACAGAGAGTTCTTACTAATATCCTTTTGATTCTCCGGGCTGTCTTATAATAAATTCTAACAATACAAAGTTAGACTCTTTCTCCTTTAATTTTTGCAGATATTGTCTATGGGATTTTCATGATCTGATTCTTCGATTTATATGATTTTTTAAAGTTACCACACCCCTTCCTTTTCTATTAAGTTTTTTCCTTGAAGAATTTGTACTTAATCCTATGTGAGTTTAACTTTTCACATTCTCCCCATTTTCCATACCCTGCATTTTTGCGTTGTAATATATTGAGAACTGAAGTGATATCCCTAATAGTTATTTTTGCAGTTTCCTGCCAATCTCTAAATTCCCTATTTTCATACTACATTTTTCTGTGTTATTGGTGTCACTTCTTGACAGTTTATTTGGTTTCCTATTTTCTCTAATTAAATGCCTTTCTGGTGAGACACATATGGACTATTTTCCAGTCTTTGTGAAATGTAGCCTGTATCTTGCCAGGAATCCTTCATTAAATCATACTGTCCCTGGTCAAGGGAGCCAAATCCTTCAGGGATTAGCCACTGATTTAAAGGATTCTTTCCTGTTCTTATGTGTGGCTCTTCACTGGAAGAGTTAACAAATTGTTACTGTACTCTCTGGTCCTTTACCTTCCAGCCCAAGGTCTCATCGTTTTGAGAGGTCTCAAGTTTCTGTTTCTTAATCTGGTCTACCTTGTAGGGCTGATGTCAATAATAGTTTGACTATTTTCTCTCCACTCCAACTTGCTTCAATATCTGTAGGGGGATTTTACACTGCAAAGATCAGATGTTGCACACTGAATTATATTCAAAATTCTAAAAAAAAAGTTTCCTTGAATAACAAACAAGGACTGATTTTGATTCTACTCATTCCATTTACTACATTAAAAATTATAAGATAGCATGTTTTATCCATTATACTTTGAATTACACAGTACTCTATTAATTACAGAGGGACAGACAGCATGGCATAGGCCAAGCTATCTGTAGGACCACTTTTCTCCCATTGTTTATGCTCAACCTAAATGGCTCCAAACCTAGTGGTCTTTCATAAAATTCTGGCCCAAATGCCTAAGGAAACAGCCAAGACTTCTTGACATCTTCCCTGTTGAAAATGAGCAATAAAGATAACACAAGGACAATGTAGCAACCCAACCATTTTCAATTCTGAAAAATAACACAAAACAATTTTCATTCAGTTTTATTTGAGGGAAGGTTGTGCATGATAAAAGATAACACATTTGATTTTGTTTTTCTTAGTGTTCCAAAATAAGGTAAAAGGGTTTTTTAAGCTCTCTTTGTAGGATAAACCATAAAAAATACCATGGCACACATGAAGCTAAATCTACATACAGACATTCTTCAATTAACAGCTTTCATCCTCAGCCTTAACTAGACAGAGATTATACATCTATTAAAACTATGAGGGAGCTTAACAAATAAAAGAAGTTTTACAATTTCAGTATTATTTCCAGAGAACATGAGGCTTAATAACTTTATGTACCTAAAAATGAAATAGGGATGAAACTGACATACAAAGCTGGAATGTACAAAGCAACAAATTATAATTTATTCTAAGAACCCGAAGAACACAATGTGTGAAACAGTTCAATTGCAAGCACTGGGATATAAGAGTATATGCTACTTATCATGTATCATTCCCATGTCATAAAGGGGAAAAAAGCAAACTTTTAAGGTTAAGGCTGTGCACACATCCATTGCAATGCTGTGTATTCATTAGAAACTATCAACAATTAGGAATCATTCTACACTATCGAAAAAAGAGTACCTTTCATACATTCTTCAGAACACGTTTTTAATCACTGCTCACAGTTTAACAGCATTTTCAATGGATAGCATCATTTTGTTCTTTGCTATCATTTCTTCACACAACAGGCAAAACTTAATGGGCACTTTTTTCATATGGCAATGCTAAATCCTCAAGTTATATCAAAGAAAAAGTAGCTGTAAAGTTGAAAGCCCTGTAATGTTTACAAAGGTCAACAATAATGGAGAACATTTTCTCATAACATTGCTGAAACTTTAAATCAGTGTAAAAACTTAACTAATTTTAACAGCTTTTTACAGTTAAAAACCTTTCAATATACACTTTGCCAGTTTATCCAAAAACGAATTAACATTTTTTTTATAAAAAAAAAAACTTGTATCAAGCAAGCGTTTACATGGGATAAACCCATATGCATTGCTCATTACTGCAGCTATAAGCACCACTTGATACAAGAGGGATGCCTGTTCTGCAAATATAAACTAAAACAATTCAGCCTTCCAGAGTCTGTTAACTCAGTTCACATTTGCAGTGCAGATATACCTTAAAAAGTAACTGTAGGTTTGGCAGAGTCACAGATTTGGACTGAATCTACACATACTACTCTTGAATATTAATTTAGAAGAATAAATGCCTATATTCTGAAAAATGTTTATCTGGATCCAAATTGGTTTCTTGTACATGCAGTTCTGCAATATTGCAAGTTTTACAGTAATCTCTAATCAGTTACTGCCTACAGGACATAAATGCTTTACTAGTGAGCTTTGGAAAATTGATGAACAAGAATTTACAATCCAATTTTGACTAGGCATTTTTCAAACGCTCAGTGTTAGAGTAGACTCATCTAACCTTATTTCAGCAGTCTAATGATTCTATACTTTCAACTTCTAGTAAGGTTCTAGAATTCAACAGGCCTCTTCACTTCTTGGCCCTTTAGCTAAGATCAAGAGAAGTATTCAACAGATCTCTAGCAGCATCAGTCAATTTACAGTAACATGCATAATAAAAAAAAATATCAAAGGAAAGGCCACATTGCCTTAAAATGATAGCTTAGTTGCAAAGGAAAGAAGCAATAATTCAAATTTGAATAAAAGCATTATTAAGTTAAGTTTTATTAGAACTCAGGAACTATTTTAGGAAAGTGTTTTAAGGAATGCATGGACATGCCTGCATGCATCAAATACTATATATGTATCAATTTAGGACAATTTAGCCTCTATTCTATCCTTTATATAATAAACTGGGAACTACAGTGAGTTTCATTAAAATGAATATAAATATCCCAGATTTTTACTAGAAATATTTCCATTTAGGTTACTATAGGATTTGGCTTGGTATCCGTTTTAAAAACTCAAGCAAATATTTGTATTGATCACATGACTTTACAAATCTTTACAAAAGTATTAGCATCTCAAACTTTAAGCCAGATTGGTATGACAATGTGCCTTGAATCAAGTTTGTAACAATAACATTTGGAAAAATTTGTAAATGCCTTTTTATACCAGAAACTCAGTAACAATTACAATGTTGTTATTGTTCATAGGTTTAATAAATATTGACAAAATCATGAATAGGAAATCTAGTTTCCCCTTACAATTCAAACAGCTTTCAAATTGGTTCAGTGTTTAGGACAAATAATGTCTAATGTGTATTGCCTTTGCAGACATTTCTTTGTCTATCCAAGAACTCTTAAATTAGATTCTTGGCATATTCTTTTTAAGACAATTGTTTAATAACATCATTTGAAATTATTAGCTAAATATTAAAACAATATTTATCATTAGTTTAGATAAGAGTGACTGAATCATTTTCTTTCTTTTAAATTTAATAGTATTATATTCCAAAACATAGGCAATTAACTAGCAGCAGTACTAACTATATAATTTATTTTATTTTCTTCCAATTAGGTCCGTTATTTCAGTATTTTGGGTAAGATTCCAATAGTGTAGCTGAAAAATATTTAGAGAACACCATGATTGAAATAGAAAATGCAATATTATTTCAGATGTTGACAACACTCTAAGAAGAGCATGGTTGCATAAAGCTAGTGCCAAACATCATTTGCTGTTGATTGCAGTTTTATTCTTACTTGGTCTAAACATTATACAATATTATTCAAAATTATGTTGCTGTTGGAAATAAAAATGAAACATAGTGTGTACTCTGATGTTGAACCCAATTAAGGGAAATCACAAGACCTGTACTAAGAAGCAGGCATAAGAGAAGAAACTTTCACTAAAACTAAAACTTTAGACTTCAAGAAAGGGCACCAGGAAAACATGTACATCAAAATTGCCTAGTTAAAATTGGGTTTTTTTTAAATGTTCACAGTATCCACATTTGTAATGAAGAAAATTATGAGCTTTTTTTGGAAACTCAATGTTGCCTCACACTAATTAAGTATCTTCAATATCCTCCATTTATATATAGTTACAAGAGACAATAAAATTTTTGAAAAAAAAAAAAAAACATACCCTGCTTTGGTAACTCTCAACTTCCACCTCAAAATCTGTCACCTACCCAAACTTCCTTTGGTTATACAAGACTTCTAATAGGATATACATAAGACTTGTTTTCCTGTGCAAAAACAAGCAACTGAATAAAACTGACTTTTTTCGTAACCACTGTAGGGACATATATGAAGTATAAATATCAGTTGTCAAATTAGCTAAACTGATATCAATTTTTAATGAATTAGCCTGATGTTAATTGGAACTTGATTCTATGAAATATCAGCAGTTACATTATCCTACATTTCCAAAGTAAAGTTTCAGGTTTCAAGAAAATCTCGACAATATATTGAATAGTAAAAAAGTTGCTAGATATGTACATCAATCCACGCATCACAGAAAACGTATTTGTTCTTATAATGCTAAAAATTAAGTTGTTAGGTCTGCCAATTAACACAGAAAGGATTACTCACATCTTTTTTTAAACTAAAATAAACTACTTACTAAGTAAATCTGAATAATGTTATCTAAGTAAAATGCCTACAATAACAATGTGATCTAGAAGATTCCCAGACATCCTGCTGGAATGAATATTATTACTAGTAAGAATTTTCAAGTGTGAAAATTTAAACAACTTCTCCCATTCACACTGAAATAAATTATTCTGAATCAAGTACCTTCTTGAGTCCATTCCCTCTTTCATGTGTACATCCAATTACATACATATAGGCTTTGTGAGGTTTTTATTTAGAGGGGTATAGGGGGAAGTAGGGTCTCATTTATTAATCCTTGTGATAAGTTCAGTGCAGAGCATATAAATTCTATGCAAGTTCTATGTAAACAAAGTAGGTCTGGAATAAAATAAAAGAATGAACATACTGGAGATCCTGCAGTTTTAAATTCTAAATATTTAAGAAACAGAAGAAATATTAGGAAGCAGAATATTATCTACACTGGCCTCTAGCAGCAGCTAGTAATTTTTAAACAAGATCCAATTCCACCTATTACTGTAAATATCTGTAGACTTTGAAGCAGTGATTCCCAGAGTCTGCAACTACAACATGACCATCCGAAGTAAGAGCCAAACCTTGAGGGCCATAAAGTGGATCAGCAGATGTATTTATGTAAGATAAAAAGGATCCACTTCCATCAAAAACCTGTGAATTAGATTAAAAAAATATGGTCAGTCAAAGAACAATATCTAATTTTATATGCTATAGCTAATGTGCATATATTATCTCCTTAGAAATCATATAGGCCTCAATTCTGCTGGCTTTTCACAGGGCCTTGAAAATGTGGTTTTGCCAATAGGTGTGGGGACCTGGGAGTGTAGTAGAGCCTGTGCAGTGGCTGTATCAATTGTTACTGATGGATGTGACTATTTGAATTTTATTATATTTTATTTTTCTTTTGTTGTACGGCTTTGTTGTTTATAAATTGTTTTTAATTCTTCATAAACCACACAGAGCCACATATCTGAAATGTGGGGGGGGGAAAGAGAATATTTCAGCAGAAAGACTACAATTATTTTATAGATTTCAGTGGCTTTCTTGATAACAAAGATGATACACCTAACAGTTTCACCCTAGACACTTGAAAAAAAATTTCACTCATCACAAGCATGTCATATTAAGCTTATTAACTCGACAGGAAAATATTATTTACCTGTATCCGACTATTTCCCCAATCTGCTACAATAATATTCCCATTAGAATCTACAGCAACTCCTGTTGGAGCATTGAACTGTCCATTTCCTTCTCCATTAGATCCAAACTTCAGCAAGAATTCACCTTCCTGGTTAAATACCTGCACGACATTTAAACACAACGCTTAAAAAACTTTATCTAAATTATCTGTAGAGGGAAAAACTATAGTAACTTTGCATGAATGAGTTTTCAAAAATATTAATAATAATAAAAACGTTGGCCATTGTACTGATAAAATTATCATCAGTCAATTGCAAAGGCAGCTTTACTTGGAGCAACTTTCAACCTATGATGATACTTTTAGTATCATGATACTTTTAGTATCATCAAGCAACATCTGCTTATCCCACCTCGTTGGGAAGGATTTGATAAGTTGTTTTTAAACAATGGAACAATAATTATTAACTGGACACAAACAGTTTGGCCTTAAAAAACCAGAATATTGATGAATATTCACTATGCGTTACATCTCTGTAGTGATATTGTGTCAGAGAAAGATGGCTGAGCCAGGGGGAAGGACTCAAGCAGGGAATTAGCCTGGAATCATTATGTAGGCACAAGAGAGAAAAGTCCAACCTCCTACCCACTTAAATGCCATTGAACCTTATCTAATCTGGCCCAGGTACAAACTGCAAGTCTGGGAAGATTCCTGTGAAATAGGCATGAGAAATAAAGTAGTTAATTGAACTTTTCACATATGGATCTTATTGTTCCCATCTGACATATTGATTGGTTATACCTGCCCCACAAGAATGGAAACAGAGGTTTACTGCAACTCAAACAAATTCAAACTTATGAAATCAATGCCAGAATTAAAGATTATAAAATGATTCAAACTGCAGATTGTGCAAAGAAGCAGAAAAACATATACAGTGAGGGGAAAAAGTATTTGATCTCCTGCTGATTTTGTACGTTTGCCCACTGACAAAGAAATGATCAGTCTAATTTTAATGGTAGGTTTATTTTAACAGTGAGAGACAGAATAACAACAACACATTTCAAAAAAATTATAAATTGATTTGCATTTTAATGAGTGAAATAAGTATTTGACCCCTTTGCAAAACATGACTTAGTACTTGGTGGCAAAACCCTTGTTGGCAATCACAGAGGTCAGACGTTTCTTGTAGTTCGCCACCAGGTTTGCACACATCTCAGGAGAGATTTTGTCCCACTCCTCTTTGCAGATCCTCTTCAAGTCATTAAGGTTTTGAGGCTGACATTTGGCAGCTCGAACCTTCAGCTCCCTCCACAGATTTTCTATGGCTAGGCCACTCCAGGACCTTAATGTGCTTCTTCTTGAGCCACTCCTGTGTTGCCTTGGCCGTGCTGGAATACCCATCCACCACCCATTTTCAATGCCCTGGCTGAGGGAAGGAGGTTCTCACCCAAGATTTGACAGTACGTGGCCTCGTCCATCGTCCCTTTGATGCAGTGAAGTTGTCCTATCCCCTTAGCAGAAAAATGCCCCCAAAGCATAATGTTTCCACTGCCATGTTTGATGGTGGGCATGGTGTTCTTGGGGTCACAGTCTCCTCCTCCTAACACGGCGAGTTGAGTTGATGACGAAGAGCTTGATTTTGGTCTCATCTGACCACAACACATTCACCCAGATCTCCTTTGAATCATTCAGATGTTCATTGGCAAACTTCAGACGGGCCTGTACATGTGCTTTCTTGAGCAGGGGGACCTTAGGGGCGCTGCAGGATTTCAGTCCTTCACGGCATAGTGTGTTACCAATTGTTTTCTTGGTGACTATGGTCCCAGCTGCCTTGAGATCATTGACAAGATCCTCCCGTGTAGTATTGGGCTGATTCCTCACCGTTCTCATGATCATCAAAACTCCACGAGGTGAGATCTTGCATGGAGCCCCAGACCAAGGGAGATTGACAGTTATTTTGTGTTTCTTCCATTTGCGAATAATTGCACCAACTGTTGTCACCTTCTCACCAAGCTGCTTGACGAAGTCTTGTAGCCCATTCCAGCCTTGTGTAGGTCTACAATCTTGTCCCTGACATCCTTGGACAGCTTTTTGGTCTTCCCATGGTGGAGACTTTGGAATCTGATTGAATGATTGCTTCTGTGGACAAGTGTCTTTTATACAGGTAACAAACTGAGATTAGGAGCATTCCCTTTAAGAGAGTGCTGCTAATCTCAGCTCATTATCTGCATAAAAAACACCTGGGAGCCAGAAATCTTGCTGATTGATAGGAAATCAAATACTTATTTCACTCATTAAAATGCAAATCAATTTATAACTTTTTTGAAATGCTTTTTCCTGGATTTTTTGTTGTTATTCTGTCTCTCACTGTTAAAAAAACCCCTACCATTAAAATTCTTTGTCAGTGGGCAAACGTACAAAATCAGTAGGGGATTAAATATTTTTTTCTGAGCTGTATTCAGCTTGTAGAGAGATCACACAAGCTGATTATAAACAATGGCATTAACACAGTAGCCCAAATTATTTACTGGAACATTTGTGAAAATTATCATGTGCCAGTGATGAAAAATTAGTGGGACCATATAACTGAAAAAATAATTGAAACTGAATAAGTTAAAATATTGTGGGATTTCTTGAACATAACACACTAGATTTAATTGTGGTTAAAAAGAAAATATGGATAATTGATGTGGCAAAACCAGGGGATAATAGAAGACAAAGATTTGGGGAAGATTACAAACTGTCAAGATCTGAAAAGCTAAGTTAAACGATTATGGCATAAACTGGTAGCATGGTTATTGGCACACTTGGTAACACACCAAAAAGCATTGGTATTAGGCCACAGAGAGGTTGAAATGTGATAGAGCTACAAACTTAATTAGAAGCATTCTTCTAATTGTTAACTGACAGCAGTACATTCTGATTTTTCAAACAATTATCTACCTTTCTTTATTTTGTCTTGTGTTGGAATCTGGCCATATATCCAACCATTCTTTTCAAATTAGGAAATCCTGCACAACTGAACAACTGCTGATTCTAACATTATGCAGTTGTCAACAACATTGCTCTCCAGCTGAGCCAGTATGCTAGCAACCTGTTCAATGTCTATTCTTGTAATTCAATCTCTTCCTTTTAATCCAAACAAAAAACAATTATTTCCTATCTAATTTTTGAACACAATGAAGAATCGCCTAGATTCTTCAGTGGTTATTTATTTTCAAATAACATTATATAGCTTAATGGTGCTCGATAGTAGCCTTCTCTTATAGCACGACCTCAACTAATCTTCGTGTTTCTTACAATTATTGTTATATTAAGAGTGCTATATTTCACTGTTCTGTTTAGAAGCATCCTCAGAAAAGTAACAGAAAAATGGAGAGAGGGATGCAGAAGGAAAACAAAAAGATACTGAATCTCCATTATGGTTTAGGCATCTAAGGGTCATCTAAATTGAGCTATTCTTTCTTTCTTTCTTTCTTTCTTTCTTTCTTTCTTTCTTTCTTTCTTTCTACCTACCTACCTACCTACCTACCTACCTATCTATCTATCTATCTATCACCTATCACATCTAGAAATTGCCCATCTCCCTCACAGGGTGATCCTAAATGGTGTACAAATAATACATTAAAACTATATAAATATAATTTAAATGTAAGCTTAAGCAAGAATAAATATTTATTGTATTTATTAATAATTTACAATAATTGTTCAAAATGAATCTAAGGAACATTCATTTTATTTCTTGGAGCTAAAACAAACAATATAATATTATTACTAAACATAAAAACAATGTATCAACCACATCATCCCTTAAAGTTAAAAAATTGGTTACTTAATATGTACTAATTATTCTAGTATTTTAATATAATCTGCAAATTTAATTAAAACTGGAGTATCCATTTTTGCTTTTGTTCTTGTTAACAGTTTTTTATAAAAAATTCTTTATCAGTTTGAGACTATAAAAAATGAATGAATACAAAAAGTTCAAAGAACTAGTAGCATCATACCTTGACAGAATGATTGTGGAAATCAGTAATAATAATTTCATTATTGTGGTTGACAGCTGCAAAATGAGGGCCTGTAATAAATATGGGAAGGTAAATAAAGAGCAGTAAAACAGAGAAAGATGAGGTGATGATAGGAATGATCTTAGAACCAAAAGAAAACCTAAACCCCCAAAACACATCATTCTCATCTGACAGATTAATTTTAGACTAAAATATTTATCTATTTTGACAAAATAGTGGTGGTAGTAATAGAACGAGTTTGGTGTGGTGTTAAGGCATCAGGAGAGAAACCAGAAGACGTGTGAGTTCTAGTCCCAACTTAGCCATGAAAGCCAGCTAGATGAACTTGAGTCAGTCACTCTCTTTCAGTCTTAGGAAGTAGGCAATGAGACACCACAGCTGCAATTTTGGCAAGAAAAATGCAGGGACTTGTCCAGGGGACCCCAAGGGTCAATACTGTCAAAGTAGTAATAATAGTACTACATGAATCACTACTATTGTATTGTTGAGCCAACTTGCTTTAAAATCAAAGGCAGAACTTAACTGAATTCTGTCTTTCAAAAGCTAGTAAGAACATGAGACCACCATTGTCTCCCTCAGTCTTTGGAATTTCCATGAATCTGAGGAAAATTCAGATATATGAAGCAGATAACTTTTGCTACATAAATTTATATTCTGGTATAAACAATCAGTTTAGTCGAGAGTTTGAGAAGTTGCTTACAAAATTTGACTTCTGTGTGATGGGACTCTCTTATTTCTCTGTACAAATTATGAAATTAGTTGTTCAGCTGTACTTCAGATTGAGTTCCAATATTTTTTCAGCTGTAAGGTCTTCTTGTAGTTAGTATTAATTCATAAGTTTATATCTGATGCTGTTAATAGATCAGAAGAGGAACATTGGAATTTCATTATTTTTTTTGTAATACTGATTTATCTCCCAAGGATGCTCTATATCAGAGGTCTCCAACCTTTTGGACACCAGGGACCAGTTCCTTGGAGAGAGGTTTTTCCGTGGATCGGAAGGGCATGGTTTTGTGTGCTACTTGCATCCCGCGGATGGGGATTTGTTTGTGCGGACCGGTTGCTGGCATGTACTGGCTCTACATACCATGCCTCTACCTATATAACCACAGACTGTAATTACTTCCCTTTTTTTGAATTTTGAAATCATCAGAAAGGCAGCATAGATAATGATAGTCATGAACAGTACTGCATGAATATTAGGTTACTTAATGTATAGCTTAATTCTTTTTTAATAACTTGATGAAAATTAATTTTTCAAGTTAACACAGGCTTGAGAGGAGTGTCTCCACAATGCAGGAAGGTGCAATACTTATAAACCAAGCTAATATATTTAGAATTAGGCAGCTATAAACTCACTAAAAATAAGAACACGGGAAACTACAAGATACATTTACAGACTATATGGCTACTAGCTTGAATTGCTTCTTCCAAATATGTATGCTAAAGATGATCACCTCTAAAGCGCTTCATGATACAGGGCCTGACTATCTTGAGGGCCCATTTATTGCAGTTGTCTCTGCCCATCCAATGTGGTCCAGCAGAATGGTATGCGGAACTCATAAAGTAACCTTACTCTATGGCAATACCTGTCCTCTATGTGATTCTCATTTTTAAGTTTTTTAGGAAATTAATAAAAACAATTATTAGGGGGCAGGGTGATTGTCAAGCTACATTCTGTTTTGGCTTTGTTATGGTTGATGTTTATTTTGGACAGTTGTGTTTTTTTTGTATGTTTGGGTTTTTAATGGTAAATCATGCAGAGTTGTACAGGAATTGAATGGCCTCAAAATTTGGTAAATAAATAAATATTAAACATGGTCTTGTAAAACTCAGTTAATTTCAAACTCCTGGGATTTTTAAATCCCAGGCACAGAACTCTGTTTTATTTCCCCATATGATTAAACATTAAATATATATCATGAGCAACAAGAATATATTAAGCAGAAAATGCAAGTATTAAACTGTACTGTACTATGTAACCTATCTCATATTAACTTGTACACCAAATAATTAGGATTTTAAAATGTATTCAACATATGTCTAACAAAATGGAAGACACTTATTTCTTGGATACTTACTAAACATCTGCCGTATTCAATTACAATTCACCAGATTGGGAAAACTACTACTACTATTGTTGTTGTTGTTAGTTGCGAAGTCGTGTTCGACCCATCGCGACCCCATGGACAACATTCCTCCAGGCCTTCCTGTCCTCTACCATCTTCTGGAGTCCATTTAAGTTCACGCCTACTGCTTCAGTGACTCTATCCAGCCACCACATTCTCTGTCATCCCCTTCTTCTATTGCCCTCAATCTTTCCCAGCATTAGGCTCTTCTCCAGTGAGTCCTTCCTTCTCACTAGGTGGCCAAAGTAGTTGAGTTTCAAGCTACTATTATACCTTTTAAATTCATGTCATCCATTCTGGGAGTAGCCCAGAAACAGGTTTTAATAATTCAAGAGGAATATCATGTCTCCCTTTGTAGAACTTAACAATAAAACAAACTTCCTTGCAAATCTGAAGGTTCCAGTCATTTGTTTAAGTCCCAATTACAAAGTACATTGATGATGATTAGAAGTGACATAGTAAAAAGCATTGCGAAAAGCCTTGACCATGGGATAGTGGGTCTGGCTAGTCTCCAACTGGTCCTTTCTACTCAAGACCAGAGAAATTCATTCATTTCATACTGCTGTAATCTGAATGAATTAATATGGTTGGTGGGAAGGTAGTTAAATGGTGTTGCTTAAAGAAATGTAGGAGATCTTCAATAAGCAGGGCCAAAGGTGCTACACTCTCCATTCTAACCTGCTTTTGTTTTGGGAAGATTTTTACAGAGTTGAAAACTTTATCTTAGCCTAGTAAGCAAAGCAGCCCAAAAACATAAGCTGCTACAAATAATTTAAGATTAATTTAAAGCACATATATTACATCACAAAATATATTATTTTATCTTTTATTGTTATTATTTGTATTTATTTTCTTGTTTTATTGTTCCACATTTTTAAGAATTGAATGAATCTTTCCGTTTTATTCTATGTAAGTTTCAACACCATTGAACCATATGAAGAACATAAAAGAGTATTATGTATCAACCATCAATTGCTACCTGCAAACTGTTTATCTCCATTGCCTCGGCTTCCAAATCGGGTTACTATTTTCCCATTTGGCTGGAAGATAAATACACAGCATGCTTTGTTGTCCACTACAATAATATGTCCATTGCGATCCACAGAAACACCTTTTGGCCCCATAAGTTTTCCTGATCCAATTTTTGCCTAGGAAAGCAAAGAAAGAGATTACATTTATTTTATTTTATTATTACATTTTCTGTGTAATGTACTATTTTTATTCTAATTCTCAAAATTATACATCATAACATAAGTCAATAAAGAGTTTCTAAGCATCAGTAAATCCAGACAAAGTCCCATGTCTAAGTAATTTGGCCATCTCAATAAATTCCATCATCATTCCTCTATTGTCAGTAAAATCAGAAATTTCCAACTTTGTTCATATAATAGTGTTGCTGTAGTTATTTCAATAAATGTATCTACTCATAGGAACATGTGCCTGAGAAACTTCTTATTTTGTATGCAAGTTCAAATGAAAAAGCTTTGCATACTTTTTTTAATCTTTGAAAAGTCTAGAAACTTCAGCAGGTCCAGAATGTGACAGGGAATTATTCTCTAGAGCAGTGGTGGCGAACCTATGGCACGGTGCCAGAGGCGGCACTCGGAGCCCTCTCTGTGGGCACACGTGCCGTTGCCCCAGCCCTGCCTCCCCCCGCGACCCCCTCCTCTCCAGCAGCTCCCCTTAAGGAGAGTTGCCCTCAAGCATGGCCCACATGGAGCAGCGCAGCCAAGGACATGGTAGCCAGGCAGCGTAGACAAGACTCTGCCCTCATACCCCATCATGCAGTTGATGTTGTAGGGCGTGGACAGAGAGTGTGGTCGCCATAGTGCTGCTGGGCTGCCTGGGCGATCTGCGGCGGGCCCTGGAGGCGGTGAGTGGTCCTGTGGGCAGGCGGGGCGGGGGATGGGGGACAGAGTGGGGGTGGGGCAAAGGGGTGGAAAGGGGGTGGGGCCAGTTTTTGGGCACTAGGTCTCTAAAAGGTTCGCCATCACTGCTCTAGAGCTACCTATAAAGAGTATAAAATTCTGCAAGACAATAACATTTTCTTTAGATTTTGATTGATTTCCAAACCAGTGTTGACTTTTAAAGCTCTTTATTATTGACATCAGAATTGAAGGACAGTTTCTCCTTCATTAGTATCAGTGATGAAGAGCCTATTCATTTACTGATTTTTTTTTATCTTGCCTTTATTACTTTTACAAATAATTCAAGGTGCAACCATATCTAATATTCCTTCCTCCTCCTATTTTGCCCACAACAACCACCCCTATGAGGTAGGTTGAGCTAAGAGACAGTGAGTATTATAGAATGTGTAAAAAAAATCTAGACAATGTCATAATGCTAGGAAAGACAAACTAAATATTCATAGCAGCATATGTATGTGGAAAAGATTCTGAAATTAATGCAAGAGACAATAAAAGAAAAGCAACCATCAGACCCTGACAATTACTGGATTCATTTTGCCCCTTAGTCCCACAATAAACAGTTGTAATTTCACTCTTCGCTGCCATCTTGTCAGTCAATACGGGAGGAATACTCATTTTGCTAATTATATCCCTTTTTCAGCTTTAACCAGCCATTAATTATTAATTTTAAAAAAGGAAAATAAATGTCCTTGTATTTTACGTTTTGACTTTAAACCTACCTTAAATTTTCCATCAGAGGAGAATATGCTAACCCATTTGTTATCGTAATCTGCAATAATGATATCACCACAAGGGTGCACAGCTACTCCAGTAGGCCGCTGTAACTGACCAGGAGATCTTCCCCGTACACCAAAACGATTCTTGAACTGGCCATCGGTGGAAAATATCTATGATTTGTTTGAAAAAAGCAATAGCAACTTTCATGTAAAATGCAACTATTTTCATTATTCAACTGAAACACATAGGAAACATTGACATGCTTTTAACATGCATATGGAATTCTGCTTCCTGTTACCATTTGGAATTACAAAAATACTCTAAACATACGTGTATTTGCCTTAAGAAAAGAGAAGAGGAAGCTCATGCAAAGTGTATGGATATGTTCCATGGTTTTAATGCTTAGACTGTAAGTCAGGCATGTTAAACTGCCGGCCCGCGAGCTGGACGCATCATGCCGAAACCGCGCCCATCCCATTGCCGGCAATGGGGAAAAAGTTCTGATATGTCACGCGATGTCACACGACGTTGCAATTTTGACATGCCTGCTATAAATATTGTTGCTTAGATTGTCAACCTATTGCCGGGCTTGGAGATAACCTACAATTTGTAGAAGTACAACTTTTTAAAGGTACAAATGGGACCACAAATCCCTAAAACAACCTAACCAAGATGGAGCATACTTAGTGATCACTACATCCAGAATAATGTTTGGGTGGGAAGGAGGGAGAATTAAGGAACAAGACGCCACACAACTGTATTTTGTTGAAAGTTATATTTATTACATTATATCCACCTTTCCTGTACGAAGCTAAAGATAACAACCCATGAAGTAGATTAGATGGAAACACAATGAATGATCCAAGAGTGGGTTGAATTAAAAGTTAATTCTGTGCAGTAACTTGTGTTAATCTAGCAAGGAGCAACTGCAAGTCTGGTACTAATGGCACTGGGCTATTTATATCCATCCCGAAAAGAAATCCTAGGCCATTACATACATATTGTTTAT